TGAATATCCATATCATCAAATTCATATATAACATAAATTTTCGTAATTTAAATAATGAAAGAAAATTTTGTACTACTATACTTAAGTTGTATGATAGAAGATTAAGGTAAGTCGAAGAAATTATATTATTAGGCTTTCACTCCAAAATTCTTTGGCAATCCCATAATCCCTTCATTAGCTAAACATCACAATTACATGATTATTTCTTTACCAAAATTTGAAATTCAAAAAGTAAACACTGGGTTCTTCAACTATGGAAAGTTGTCAATGTGGTCCCTTAGCTTTCATTGATGATTGTATAGAAACGTTTGGGATATTATAAAACTATCATAACTGTTTCTAATGAAATTATAAATAATCTTGAATAAATCAAATCTTTTATATCGCTAAGAAGTGCTACTTCAATCCATACAATGACTTATTCAACAAACACACAGTCTTTCTTTCGCAAAACCATAAACCCTTTTGTTGTTGCATATAAATGCTCTCCTCAAGTTCTCCATGCAAAAATAATGTCTTGACATCTATCTTCTCAATCTCCAAATCATTCTTAACCACAAACCTTAAGCCAGAATTGAACCATGCTTTACAAGTGAGAACACATCTATGAAGTCAACACCTAGAATGTGACTGTAGCCCCTTATTACCAATTTGGCTTTATACATTGTATTTTCAATTCTTGATGTCCCTTCCTTCCTTTTAAACACCCACTTGCGGTGAACAATATTTCTATCTTTATGCAATTTCATCAAATCCCAAGTACTGTTTTTATTTATTGACTTCATATCTTCCTACAAAACAATCAACCATCTACTAGAATCACTGCAAATGACTGTCTCTCAATATGTAGCAGGTTCCTCATTGGAATCAATATTGCCAGTCACACTCAATATATAAGCTACGAATCTACCTTTTCATACTTTTGCGAAGGTTTAATCCATTTGCGAAGTCTATCCTTAGAATTGAATACTATGGTGTTGCTAGTGGTGTCAGCAAAGTAGGCAAAGTGTTACCTTCTCTCAACTCTGAACTAGACTAATCTAAAGTGGACTGTTCTGAAGTCCCTGATTGTTCTCTTGAAACAATTTCTAACTACACTTGATTGAATGATTCTGTTCCTCGATTTTACCAAAATCCTCACGATATGAACCATAAACCATAATAAGTCCATCAAACACTACATCTCTACTAACCATCACATTTCTTGTCTCAGGACACCACAACTTATACTCATTCACACTTAATTTATACATAAGAAAAATGCTATTTCTAGACTTAGGTTCCAACTTTCCATGATCCACATGAACATAAGCTGGACACCAAAGATCTTCAAATCAGAATAACAAGAAGGTTTTCCAAACCTCACCTCTTCTGGTATCTTTTTTCAATGGTAACGAAGGGTAAGCGATTAATAAAAAACAAGATGTAATAGCAATTTCAACCCAAAAAATCTTAGACAACCCAAGATTTGAAAGCATACGACGAATATTTTCCATCAAAGTTCTATTCATTCATTTTGTCACACCATTTTCTTGTGAAGTTCCAAACATTGTTAAGTGTCTCAAGATACCTTCAGTCCTACAAAAGCTATTAAATTAATCTGAACAAAACTCCAATCTACTATCTGTATGTAGATGTCTCACCTACTTTTCAGTCTATTTTTCTATCATTATTTTCTACTCTTTGAAGGTCCCAAATACACCACTCTTCTATTTCAAGAAGAATATCCAAACTTTTTTTTTTGGAGAAACATCAATTACTATCAACAAGTAATAAGCATCTCCTTTAGTAGGCACACTCGTCGGTCTCCAAAGATCTAAATGTATATGTTCAGGTGTTCCTTTTGAGTTGTGTTTTCTTTTAGTGACTCTTAACTCTTTTATGTTTTCAAAAGACACAATGTTCAAAAAAAAAAAAAATCATCTTATTGGTCTTCTGCCCATCAGGAAGTCCTCTCCTACTTAATTCTACCATGCAGTTCTCACTCATATGCCCTAGCCACATATGTCAAAGTTTTGTAACTTCTTTATCAGTCAAAGAAGTAGTAGAAACCTACATGCCCTATAATTGTGGAATCCTGCAAAAAGTACAACTGTGTTGAGATTTTATGTCCTTTCATAACAAGAAAAGCACTTCGGATTACCTTCAAAACTCCACCTTCACCAGTGTACCTATAACCCTTTGAGTCAAGTGCGTTCAAAGTTATGAAATTCCACTTTAGTTTTGGAACGAACCTTAAATTTGTAAGTTTCTAGTAGCCACATTGAATATTCAAATTTTGATTGTGCCAACTCCGACAATTTTACAAGGCGCATTATTTCTCATAATCATTGCACCTATCAAAACTCCTCATATGTTGAAAACCAGTCCATGTTGGGATAAATATAAAAAGAACATACTAGGTCAAAAATTCATTCCTCACAAAATTTGAAACCTATGTCAGAAATCACAAGAAGCTCTTCTTCGTTGTGCCCATCTTCCACAACATCAACCTCCACTGTGTTTTCAAATTGTTTTCCTTTATTATAGCACCAGCTTTGTTTATATTTTCCAAAACATAACAATCAACCGTAATATGCTCATTCTTCTTACAGTAATGACACTTTTTTGGCATGTCTGGATTTCGATTTGCCCCTCATATTTTTACCAATATTCCCATCTTGATTTTTCCCACGAACAATTAGACATTCAATCTGACTCCCAGATTCACTTGCAAAATGCATCACCTTATCCTTGGACAGTAAGCATCAATAACCTCATCCAAGGTAAGAGTATTACGACTATAGAAAATAATATCTCTAAAAGTCACATAAGATGGCAGCAAAGAAAGCAACATCATCAACGCAAAGTCCTCCTTATCATACTTGACCTCCAATATCTCCAAATCATTCATGATTTCTTTGAACATAGTTAAGTGATCATCTACAGGCATACTTTCGGACATATGGTGAGAATACAAACATTGCTTCAAGTATAACTTACTATTCAAGCTTTTTGTCATACAAAACTGCTTCAATTTCAATCAAAGTGTAGAAACACTTTCTCCTTTAGTACATTCGGAAGAATTTAATTTGATAGATATAGATGAATTTGATCCTGCATCCAAGTTGAAGGCATTTTATCAAAGACAAATAAAGCTTTCTCCAAATCCATCTGTGCGAGAACTGCTCTTATAGTCACTTACCATAGAGTAAATCTCATGTTTCAATCCGATAATGGAATGTCGTCTTTCATTGTTGCTATGCGGAAATGCGGAATAATCAAATTTACTCTGATACCACTTGTTATGAATTGACCGTAAGATAATGACAACAATAAAATAAACAAAAACTCAATAAGAACATTAAGCTTTATGTGGAAATCCTAAGATAGGGAAAACCCCATAGGCAGGGAAGGAGAATTTCACTGTAATTAATAGCAATTGTGTTTACAACAAAATTTTAATACTCTCATTTAAGATTTAAAACTCTCAATATATTGTATGAATTGTTCTCTCGATAATACAAGTCGTAACTTATATATATAAGCCATAGAAACCAAGTTGTAGATAAATAGGAGTTCAGAAAATGCGTCAAAATGCAAAAACGAGCTTGGGTTGAATAATCATGTCACTCAAGCGACATGCTAGCAAGCGTCAGGAGGGCGACAAGTTTCAGAAGAAAATATCTAGGCGCCGCTCAAGCGGCCAACTAGCGGCAGGCAAGCAAAAATACGACAATTATTTTACTGATCGATAATTTTGATATCTTTAAAACTATTTCAACAAAAACTCCAATACCCCCTAGAATTTGAGTTAAACTACAATATTAACATTTAAGGCCTGTTTGATTTAAAGAATTTTTCATTTTCCATCTTTTTCTTTGTTTAATTGCAAAAAATTTCTTGACAATTGATTTTCTATTCCCCTCCCACGTGACCCCTTTTTCTTTGGTTTTGTGGAATTTCAATTCCCATGGGTTTGGTGGGAAATCAATTTTCTAGATTTTTATTTTAATTTTTTTTTCTTTTTTAACAATGGTAACAAATTCTATTCACAATTGTAACAAATTCTAGTCCTTTAATCGACAATTTTCGTGGAAAACAAAGTCAAACAAACACCAAAAGATCTAAAATTTCAACATTTTTCAAGTTAAAAATTATACAAATCAAACACATTTAATTGACAATTTTTAGTAAAACAAGTTTTAGGCAATTTAATTTCTTGAAATTCGTTTTCTTTCCATCCAAATTTAATTATTGCAATCAAACGAACTCTTACTTAAACTTGGCCAAACGTGCACAAAGAGACTTGAGGAAAAAATAAATTCAGGGTGTTTATAGTTACATACCACCTTTATTGGGTAAATATATTCACTACAATTTTTGTTGACTACATGACATTTTAATTGCAATGAGTATTCCTAAACTTTTCTTATTTTTCCATTTACGTTCTCAATATTTTTTTACCATCAATCTTCTATTAATTTTCACATCCTGGACATTTATAGCTTGTATTTTAAATTAAACGAAGTAAATAGCCTATACAAAACTTAAATAAAATATTTTTGCCAATCGCCGTCATTGAATTTAGAGCCCTGAATACATTACCGATCGATGATAAACCAGAGGTAGATGGAGATAATAACAAATCATCATGCCCCTTATGTCCTGTGCAACACGTGCAACAACGGTCAAATCAAAGGGTTGCAATCCTGTGAAGGTGAGCTAACTAGAACCCATCTTTAGTTCATATTAGAAGCTGTAACTCATATCTTTTCAATGCTCATTAGTAGAATATTCTTATAAAAATTGTGATTAGAAACAAAATATGTTATTGAATGTTAAGAATGATATTGCGACAAGAAAACAGTTCAGAACAAAAATGCAAAAGTGAACAAGTATTTAAAATCTTTGTAGTGATGCAAATATAAAAAATTGTCGTGTAAATATAATTATCCTAAAAACAATCAGAGCTTGAGGGAAAAATGTAAGAATACTATTTCAACCATTTCAAATCTAACTGAGAACAATTTAATCAACATTAGCGTTTTCATTTACACATCCCATTTACTCGTTCACATACATAAACCTTACGAGGGAAGAAATACATACTCAATAACAATATTATCAGAATATTTCTACACGTTTGGACGACCCTTAAAAATGAGGTAAACATCCAAAGAGAGTAAAACACCAAGTATGCAAAATACATCTGATCATAACCCAAGGATTGGACAATAATATATTTATACACAAACACTAACTGCCTAAACAATTAAACCAATCTCTCTACCAAAATTGGATTTCTCGAGAATTTTTAGATTAAGAGATGATCCAAATGCAACTAGGATTGAATTGCAGACGCGAGGATCACGAGTCACCAGATGATTATTGGAAGAAGCCAAGTGCAAAAAACATTACATTTCTCACCAGTTTGCCAACTGTGAGGAAATGCTTTTTACAACAGGGTGGTATACTGTGTGCAAATGTCTCTTTGCTTTCTCTGAACCTGGTAGCTCAAGCCACTCATCGTATAGGCTTTTGATAAGGGGATTTTCATAAGGATCAGCTACCAGTACCTAAATATTAGAGAATGGTAAGCAATAAAACATTCATAAACTTTAATCCACAAAATTATCAAACATTATTGAGGATAATAAACGCAAATTGAAATGATAAAAAAGAAGCGGCAAAACAATACAAATATTGATCCACATTATGTTTCAATAAAAACTATCCGCAAAATCAGCAAAAACCAACAAGAAGAAAGATGCTCAAATTTTGATGACAAAAGAAAATTGACAAAAACAAGACAGAAAAATATTGGTCCAACTCTATATAATATGCTAATTTTATTCTTTATTTTTTTCCTCTCATGCAATTCACATGTTTTTCTCTACACATCTCACTACATCAAACAAGTCAAGGTGCCCAAGACAGGGCCATTATTTAACAAAATCGCCTAAAGTGAAGAAGGCCATAGGGAAAAAATAAACCAACTTACATTTTCTGAATATGCATTTTCCAATAAATGAATCAAATCTTTTCCAGATTGCCCAGGCTTGCGCTTGATTTGACCTCCACCATTCAAACATCCTGTTGCTCAAGGAAGACACACATAAATATATTAGAAGTTGTGCATGACTTTTAAAACAGGCATTACATCAAATCATTGACCATCAGTCCCCGTGGACAATACCCAGTAAACCAATAATACCTGAAGGACATGCCATAATCTCCAAGAAATGATAGTCGCACTTTCCAGTTTTAATTTTTGTAACAATGTTTCTCAGGTTTCTGAATCCATAACATTGCGCAAATTTCAAGACAGTTTTACCCTCGACCTGATTTAGATTATCGGAGAAAAATTAGTTCACGACACAAAAATAACATTAATACAGGAATTATTCTTTCAAATGATCTGTTCATTAAATGACTCATATCATGAAAAAAAGGCGGGTAGGTAAAGTCAAGAGTAGACAACAACTTTTTGAGTCATGAGGAGGCAAGGAGAATCGTCAAAGTGGATCGTCACAAGAAGAAAAACAGCACATCAGCAAGAGGAAATATTAGTTCATAAGGTGAACAAGATTGAAGGTGGCATTGAATTACCAGGGGTCAAGATTGCTACTTGCAAAACTAGACTTGAACCTTCCTACAATGTGCTTATCAACAATGCCAACACAAGGATGGATGAAACTTACTTCAAGAGTAACTTCCTGAAAATCTGAGTTCCTTATAGTCTTAAACTGAAGAGGACCTTCAATTTCTTCCCCAAAAAGTATTTTTGCAGCATGGCAGAATATAGTGTCTGCATACCCCCCAGAGCTCCCACGAACACTATAGAGGTGGCCTTCTTCGTCTACATTTGACAATCTGCAGCAAGTAAAATCTTTTTCTAGTCACTTGATATCCAATGTAGTTAATAAGCACCATACAAAAAGTACATATTCTTACAATTTATCCACCGGAGATCCATCCAAAGTTGTAAAATCAACAGATTTAGACTGCAACAATTAAAACCATGAAAATTAAAATACTACAATACAATAAAAATTAGTAGACATGGAAATTAACATCACAGAATGTTTACCTGTATCAAATCTAAAACCTCTCCAGTAGTCAACACCGAATCTACCTCCGCAATTGTTTCACTTTCAGAATCTACTTGGAACATAAAGTCATCCCGAGCAGCCTCAAGCTTTTTGTCATAACAAGGCATCACAGTCACATGATAAATCTCTTCTGCTCTGCCCAGAAATAAAATTTATCTACAACGTCAAAACTTAATACTGTTCTGACCAAGCAGGTATATGAGGGCCAAAAGCTAGTTATACCCATGACTCTAGTTCACTATACGTAAAATAAATCACATTAGTTTACAAGATTGACCAATGCCTCACCCTTAATTATACTACAAATAAATTAACCATTTATATTTCTAATTACTTATTTTAAGCCCTCACACTGCTGCTGCACTTAGTATTTAAGTATGCTATTGGACCCCAACATCAAAATAGAAGTCTGCAATTGTGAAGAATATGCTTGAAATCATAATAAAATGTTCAACACATTAACAAAGATGGTGCAGAAGATAGATCACCTTAGACATAATTTTTGGCATATGTGGTTCTTAATGGCAGCTCCAATAATTTGTTGGGGGCTTTTGACTGAAGAAATATATGGAAGTATGTAGGATCCAAGAGTTTTTTCTGCATAGCATATCCAACCTGCAAATTCAGAATGCATCATAAAAAATCTAGATACACATCATAAAGCTTTTCACACTTCAGGAGGCAAAAGAACAGGCCTTTACCTAGTCTAGATAAAATAGTTCATGTCATTATCTAAACTGTCACAAAAACGAAGATGATATACCTGGACATGCTGACGAAATCATGGGAAGAGGCGATTTGGATTTCTCTTCATTAGTTATATTGCGTTGTTCATAACGTGTTATGAATTCATTACAAGATTCAATAAGTGTTAAATCTCGACTGCTGCTGGTATCAAAAACGGCTTTCACCCCTAAAGACTTAAAGAAGGTTGTGAGCTTTGTCAAGACCTGAAAATTATTTAAGATTGGTAATATCAGGAAATACAAGTACATAGTTGGAAACCATCATTCCATGTATTGTACATGGTGAAAATGAATACCATATTGTCAAAACCACATTGTCTTTATGTAACTTCTTACTTGGAGGGATGAAAGACCATAATGAACAGCAAGAGAAGCTCTAGACTGGGGAGAGAGGGAGACAATAACAGCTTTTCCTTCACTAAGGTTAGAAAGAAACTCTTCTAAGCTTTGCTTCTCAAGCATGAGAGTCTCTGCTGATGTTATGCACCCACTGCATTATAATCATCAGTATTAGTTCCTCAACTACAACATCATATTTACTCATTTCCAAATCATGAATCAGGATAATAATCTAGACCAATTAAATAATTGTAGTGGATATGCATTTGGTTAGCGTGTACAGCATCTAGCTTGAACTATATTATTTGAAAGGTTAAAATCTATCTATTTCAGATAAGAACGTAGAACAGTATAACAGAGTGGAGCATTTGATGAGACCTGCACGCTAAGCAATCTTTAAGCGAGATCTTCACAGGCTCATTTTGCACTTCTTTAGGAGTTGTTTTAACTTTCCCAGGATTCTGTTAACAAAACATGATTATTAAGATATAAAGAACAGAACACCAACAAAAGATAACAGCAACGGTTTTCAAGAAAATGGAAAATATGCAATTCTCTTCAGGAAAAACTTTCATGTCTTATAATATCCAAGCCTTTTTTTTTTTTTTTTTTCATTTTTTCTATTTTGAAAAAGTGAAAATGCTTAAATCTGGTCCTCTGGACTTGGCTAAGATGCTGAAAAATAATACGAAGTTGATCATATCATCAAATATTAAATTCTAAACAAATTAGAAGGCTTCAAGACTCACAATTTTGATTAAATTTTGACATTTTTGAGTAAAACAACATAATCTTAAATAATTAACCAATAAAACCCACTATCCTATCTAAATTAGATAAGAATAAAAAACTTAAAAATAAAAAATAAAAATAAAAACTGCTAAACCCTATTAGCAGTAGAAGGTGCAAAAACAGAACCGATGACAGTAAACAAGAAATCCAATTCCAACATAACAACCCTAGCTGAAAAAACAATTATTACCTCCGTTTTAATAACGCAACCCTGGGACGGTGCTATATAATCATTCAAGTCCCCAATTCTAAGCGTCGCCGAAAATTTCTCCGACATTATCCCTATCTGTAAAGAGGTACAAAAGGATATGTGGAGAATAACAACGATAAAACTTCCAACTTTATTTTTCCTCGGGGAAATATATGATTGAAGACTGACTAAATTAGGATTTGAAATTTCTATCGATAAGGAAGGGGAAAAAGGGTTGAATATGAACACGATCTGAGGCGGTGTAGACGTGTGTACCAATGACAGCACAAGTTCATGCGGAACAAACACAATTGTTCGCCCCCAAGGCACATCCAAGTTGGCGGAACAATCACATTGGGGGGTTTTGGAACCAAGCGTGGGGAGTTCGATTCCTGATTGGAGCAACCAAGTGATGTAATAACCAGAGGAAGGGTTGGAGCAGCTTGGTGATGTAATAATCATGGAGGAGGATCCCTTGGGAACCTGGGAACCAATAAGGGCACAACCTGCTATTTACCTCCACTAGTTACTGAGGGGTCGGAGGTTAGAGGTCCAGGATTTAGTCCGGCTAAGCTGGGACACCTGGGTTATCAAAAAAAAAAAAAACAATGACAGCACAAGTTCATGTGGAACAAACACAATTGTTCTTATTCTATTCTCTGTCACTCTTATTGGCTATTGTCTCCCGTTATCTCAATATATAATTTGCATTTTTATATTTTTATTAATTTTATTCCCCTACTACTATCCTTTTTTTTTTTTTTTTTAATCTCTTAATGAATAAATAAATAAATAAAAATATAATTATACACTACGAGACTTTAAATTGTACTCTTCCTAATTTCCTGGAGTGTTGTCTAGAGTCTCGACATTCTTTTTCTTCATTTTTTTTTTTTTTTGGAACTATTTTCCTGTTAATGGTCTTGCCTACGGCCCACCTCGTGATGTTGTATTATGTCGGGTAGTACAACGGCCGCTATGCATGTAAGGCCTGCTTGAATGTCCGAGAAGCAGCCTTTTTTTTTCTTTTTCTTTGAGCCCTTCCAATTGTGTTTGGACAAATTTTGTGGGTGATACTGACATTCCCTGCAACCCGATCACTAAATTAGCTTGACGACCAATTTTAAATGAACTTGCAATTCCACCTACGGAGTGCTCGGGCATATGGTGGCCTCGAGTTATTATGCCCGACCACATCATGCGCGGCTGCTTCGTGCAATGCAAAACTCGTCCTCGAGCATATGCTCCCCTTACAAACCTACGATATTGTTGACCCTTTAGAATTCCTACGCAATTAGAACTCTAACTCAACCATACACTTGACTCTTGTAGGGATTCTATCCCACATATAATTATGGAATTTAAACAACTCCTTAACCATTCAAGACTTCAAGAGATAAGGACATCCAGATAGTTGAGTCCCACTAGGAGAATGTCGTTTACTACTATAAATACAGAACCTTGAGCCGTTATTCAGGTACGTTTGTCATTGTTTTCCAGCATATAGTCTCACGCATATAATTCCCTTTCTAACTTAAGTATCGGAGGGGCGACGAGAACACACTTCGTTGCCTTTGTTTCAGGTACCGGAAGACTACGATCGTGATCAACCCGAATCATCAAGCTCGAGAAATCTACAGGTACGATTTTTGGTAGCATCAATGGGGGAGTAGCACCGTTCAATATTTTGTTCGACCCCTGACATCTTTTTCTTGTGGTATTCTTCTAAATGGATGTTATTGAGTCGTGGTTGTAATCAGGGGGCCCAGACCCATTTATTTTTAAGGTAAAAAAAATGGATTTTTTAATCTATGTTTCAGCAGAATTTACAAAAAAAAAAAAAAAAAAAAAAAATCCCCCCCAAAANNNAAAAAAAAAAAAAAAAAAAAAAAAAAAAAAAAAAAAAGTCCTCCCTAATTCCACCATGATTGTAATGGTTTGTGGTGGCCGGTGGTTTCTTTGCAATTTTTGTAGTGTTGTGGTGGTTTAAGGTTATATTTGGACTGACTCAAGGTGAGCGTGAAAAATTATTACAAATCGAACTGTCCCAACCTAAACTAAACATGTTCCAAGTTGAGTTAGATTGATGGGAAAATTAGGCCCCATACGGCCCAAATATGAAGAAGTTGAAAAATACTTTCTCCAAGTTGGAAATATGGTATTGCATTGAAGTGTCAGATATATGGTGTCGCATTAAGGTGTTAAATTCAAGTTTAATATACATGATTAATTAGCTAGCAAGTCATCCGGATATTGTTAAGTAGCTTGTTGGTTTCATTTAAGTGTCAAATTTAAATGAATTTACGTAGCATGTTAGTTTAGTACATTTCTGAGTGTCTGTTACATTTTTTGAGTTTGTGTCACTTTTTTTGAGTGTTTCTCACTTTTAAATTTTCTTGTTACTTTTTTTTAATCTGTGTAACTTTTTTTAATTTGCATCACTTTTTTTAAATTTCTATCAATTTTTTTTGAATTTTTATCGCTTTTTTGAATTTTTGTTATTTTTTTTTAGTGTTTGTCACTTTTTTCAATTGTCTTTTTGAAATTTCTATCAATTTTTTTTAGTAACAAACATTACTTTTTGGTAAAAGTGACATTGTATGTAATTTTTTGATAAAAAAGTTATAAAAAAAACTTTTATAAATCACATTGTGTAACATTTTAATTTTACACAATATTTTTTACTTCCAAATATGATTTTTCAAAACACCCCTAATTTTAAGAGTACTTCTGTAAGTTGCTGTAGATTGATTTGTACGTCGGTTTGGATCTTTTTGGGTGGGGTTCGACCATGTCTATCCATACTAATGACTTATATTTTGTTGGTGGGGTTGCGACGTTCTAGTTTAAGTTTACATTCATGTACATTCTAGAGAGAAATGAAGATGTGGCAATTGGAGTGGTTAAATATTGTCTGGCGGTGGCTAAATCGTCTGCCTTTTGATTTGTGGTGGTGGAATGGTTGCAAAACAGTTACGTAATTTATCAAACTAATATATATTTTTCTCCAAGCATTCAATAAATATTTTTTATTTTATATAGGAAAAAAAAGTAAGTACATGTCTTAATTTCTGTTCGTGATAGGGTGATAACAGCTGTTATTTTAATTATGTTTATTTGTTAATTAATATAATAGTGTCCGAAGATTGAGTTTTGATAACTTGTTAATCACAAAATATAGTAATTTTGTGATATACGTTATAAATAACTTAGTCTTGAATCGTCCTTATTCATAAGTAATAAGGATGGTTCGGATATTGTTATTATGGATAGACTAGTATGTATTGCATTTCCTTTTATGATTTAAGTAGTTAATTTCATATGCCAAAGTGTAGAGATAATTAAATGACTAACTACATGACTTGATTAATAATAATAATAATAATAATAATAATAATAATAATAATAAATCAATGGATGGTCCAAAATAGAATTCTACATGGATCATAATTTTAATGTCATTGTTTAATTTATAATGCTCGTAGTGGAATGTGTAATTTGACTTGAGGTTATCATAGAATCTTATATGAGGATCAACATACTTTGACTGCACTAATGTTTCTCCTCTTGGGATGATACGATGTTGTTTAGATGTGTTGAGAATCATACGAAATTGGTGAATGACCAATGAAGAATTTCATTACTCTTGGACAAAGAGAATACAACGTGTTTTATTTTTGTCCACTTAAGTTGATAGATGAGTTTCTTAGACAATGTGGGGTTATAAGTTAAAAAAAAAATTTCCTTTATATATTTTTTAGATCCACTAAAAACCTCAACGAATAATATAATTAAGTCAAGATTGATACTTATTTATATCTAATAATAAACTGATAGATCGCGAACCACTAGCTTTTCCTCTCTCTAAAAGAGAAAAGCTTTTTGATATATTTATTTAAATAGTCCAAAAAATTGAAGTGAAGTTAGTGCTTTCACCCGGTTCTATCAAACTAAACTAGTTTAAGTGCTTAACCTCTCCTTGCTCATGTAATCCCTGGGCGAGCAAGAAATAACAGGATGAACTGAAACATCTTAGTGGCTAGAAGGGGAAAAAATGCACAAATGATTCTCTTAGTAGTAGCAATCGAAATGAGAGCAACCTAAACCGTGAAAACAAGATTGTGGAAAAGCAATACAATGCTGTGATACCTCGCACGAATACTGCACCCTAGATGGCGAAAGTTCGGCAGCCAAAAAATTACTAGCTTACACTCCGACTTGAGTAGCATGGGACATGTGGAATCCCATGCGACTCATTCCAATTCCTGGATTTGCTACTAGGATTGAGTACATTATTTACAAATACACCATCTTTGTTAGGGGTAAGAGACAAAAATCATAACAATATTGCTAACATGAGAAAGACCCTAACTCTATTGCTCCCTACCTCTATAGCCAACCGAGCACCACAACTTGTGCCAAAATTTCATTTCTATACTCTTTGAGTGGATTTTTGTTAGATGTTGGACAAATATGGTGCATTGAGATCATCAATGATCAATTCAAACTCATCTCAAGTTTTAGAAACTGCTAAGGTATAATCCTTTTTTGGAATAATTCTAATGTGGGCTTTTTATTTGATTGTAAATTTTACGAGTTAGATATATAGATCATAATGATATTGTGATTGGACCAAATATATTAAGTGATCAATTTAGTCTTTTACACCTTACGAGCTATATTTAATATGATGTGGTAATTTTAAGTATGTAGGCCGAAAATATATGTAAACCCTAATTAGAGTTTAAGTCGTAATGGAAAAGTTTGATAATTTTCTATATAAAGGCATGTCCCCTCTTCTCTCCATATTGTTTTATTAGTTTGCTCACATTCACAGCTAATACTTTGTGAGGAGCAATGAGGGGAAAATTTAACTCTCCTTATCAATTTATAATTTTGTGATTCTTATTCTTAGCATGATTATTATTAAATGCAACAATTGGTATCAGAGCATACATGTTAACATAAAATCCTTCACCAAAAATAAAAAATAATATATATATATATATATATACACTTTTCTGACTTATATGTACTCACTGTGTTGTTCATTCATGCACAACATACTATATGCCCCCACAACCTCAACTTCATGGTCCAATCCTCAACAACCTATCATATGCCTCCACGGAACTTAATCTCAGTTCACATATCAATATGTCAATTCCTAATTTTGATATTTTGAAATATATATATATATATATATATAAGGACCATATACATTATTTCATCTCTCTTTATTTAGTTTTATGCATCTGTAATCCTATGAAAAATATGTATAGATGTTATTTCTTCTTCCAAGAATAATACAA